AACCAGCACATCAATTGTATTCTAATATGTCCAAATTCATGTCCATATCTTTTTTATATTCAGTCTCAGAAATGGTGTTATAAAAATATATAAAGCTCCAATAATAAAGTGAGGCTTCCTGACAGCCTGACACCATGGCTTTCATACACAGAAAAAGTTGCTGGGACCATAAAAACCAGTTACTCATGAGGAAGGAGGTGGAGATAAAACCACATATGTGAGGCTCTGCATTCAGGTGGACTTGTTTGCTGTTTGGTATGGGAAAGCATTTTTCCTATTCAGATTCTCACAATATATTTTTCAAATAAATATGTATAATTAATATATCCAAGTTATCACACCAGCTTTGCAAATGAATTATTTTAGAAGGAGGTCTTTATTGCACATATCATATCACAAGTAATTTTCATAAAATTTAGTGATACAGTTACATTGATGATCCTCACAAGTCATTGCTTAAAGAAGTGAAAGACAATTTTTAATTAAATTTATTTATTTTGTGTCTGGATCAGTTTCCCCTCTCTTCTTTCCTCCTATTCCCTCCCCCACCTCCTCTCTGCCCTGCCTCAGAATCCATTCCTCTATTCAGAAAGGGGCAAGCCTCTCATGGGTGTCAACAAAGTGTGGCATATCAAGTTGAGGTCGAACTAAGATCTTCACCTTGTATAAGGCTTGGTAAGGCAACCCAGCATAAGGAATAGGTTCCCAAAGGCCTACCACAGAGTCAGGGACAGGTCCTGCTCCTACTGCTAGGAATCCCACAAGTATACCAAGCTATACAACTGTCTCACCTATGTAGACATCATTTGAAGGCAAATGTATGGAATTAGAAAAAAAATCATCCTGAGTGAGATAACCCAGACCCAGAAAGACAAATACTGTATGTGCTCACTCATAAGTCAATATTAGCTGTAAGTAAAAGATAACCATGCTTCTACAGTCTACAGTCTTAGAGAGGCTAGGTAACAAGGAGGGCCCAAAGAGGGACACATGGATTTCCCTAGGAAGGGGAGATAAAAGAGATCCCTGGGTAAACTAGGGGTGGATGGGCAGGTAGGGATGAGAACATGAGGGATCAGGTTGGGGATGTGCTGGGGGGGGGAATAATGAAAGAGATGTCTTGATGGGGTGCATTTTGGGGTCCGGTGGAAATCTGGTGCAAGGGAAACTCCCATGAGTTTGTAAGGATGTCCCCAGTCAAGACTCATATCAGTAGTGAATAGATACCCTGAACTGGCCTTCTTCTGTATCACATTGATGAAATGCAATTTTAAAACTTACTTTGACTTGCTAAAACTCTCTAATATATATGCAGAAAATGCTTTGAAAATTTAATTGGAGTGGAAAAATAGCTTCTTTTTTCTTTTGCTAAAGAACAAACTAAAATAAAAAGTGACAAAAGTAGAGAGGCAAGCAGTCATTTTACATGAAAGTTGTGCAGCATCCCTTGTAGACGGGTGCTGGCTCACATGTTTTCTTTACAGATCTATTAATCGTGTTTTATTGGCCATACAGGGATGTACTAGGGCTTCAGTGATGATGAAAACAAGTGATGCTGAAAGGAAACAGGAAATGGTACCTTGTAGACTGTTGCAAAGACTAAATGCCAAAAAACTAGAGTAGCATGTGGCAATTGGACATTTAAGTTGAAACTCCAAGAATGCTAGACATATAAACATGTTAAGAGACCATTTCAGCAGAAACAATAGCATATCCAAAGGCTCAGAAATAAATGAAATAAAGTGTAAATTATTGAAGGAATTGAATACCAGTCAGTTAAGCTGGAAGGAGTAAGTAGCTAATGTGAGTCTATGAACTAGGAAGTCCCAAGAGGCCTCAAAGAGACACCAAGGTGTTTTAAGCTAAATACAGATATTCGAGGTTTGCTGTGTCCCATAATTTTTAAAATGATATAGAATTCAGAGAAAAGAAAACAAAACAAGAATGCCATTTTCTAGAATGACAAGTTTTAATGTTAGACACCCCACTGTGATGCCCAAAGAAACATTGACTTGAGCAGTTGTAGGTGAAACAGACCTAGGTTATTTTGATGTAGGTTGTTTGGGGACTACAATTCCATCCTTTCACTCATTAATCCATTGGAATTAATAAAGTACTCACAGTGTAGAAGGCACATCTTTCTGGATGAATAATAGTGACTAAAATTTAATCTTTTTGTTAATAAAATGAAATGTTTGTCCAACAGACAAAGTTATGCCATTTCTGAGTATGGCTTGGTTAGTCTACTTTAATATATGATTCATTCCCTTTTAGACAAGTGGATTTTCAGCCCATGTTCATTGCTATAAAATATTAAGTAAAGTCATCTGTTCAAAGAATAGTGCTTGTTTCATTTGATCTAATTAATTTTCTGGTAAGACAAGGTCTTCCTTAAGTTGGGTTATCATCGCCCACTGCTACAAACAGCTTAAGTTCATTTAAACTTTATAAATCTTGACAGATATAAAATAAATGTTGATCTCTAATCTCAAAGTGAGTGAAGGAAGGGGGTGTCATCAATCAGTAGGAGCCCCATGCGGAACAGAAAGCACCTACTGCTGATGAATCTGTGATTTCATTTTATAGGACAGCATGAAGTCACTTTTGTCATCATCATCGCTATTACAGAAATAAATTGAATTTGCCGTAAATCTATGCACAGACAATGTGCCTGACTATGTTGTGATTACAGTGTGGTTTATTACCATGTTTATTGAAAACCAGTGTGGTGGTATTTTTCAATTGCAATTTTCCACCTATTTCATCTCTAAGCAAATTGCAGCATCAAGGGTGATTACTAAGATTTGTCTTCATCTTGTCACGATGATTTACACAAAGCTAAAATCCTAGCTCTTTACTAAAATAAGATTATTCACTGTAAAGTAAGCATTTTACTGTTTCTCTAAATTGGACAACAGAATAGTTCAGGATAGAAAATGTCAGTGAATTTCTCTATAATTGATAAAACTTACAAGTTCTGAACTCACAAGTTCATACATTTTTCAGTAAGCACAATGCAAAACACTTAAAAAGATAGCAATAGCCCAACAATCCAATTAAGAAATGG